GTGGTCCCAGGTGTGAGTGGTCAAGGCAATCCAAGCTGTGAGCGCCCTCACCTGCAGCCACCTGCATTTTTAATCCTACACACATGGACGTGACTTATGCACGATAAGGTGCATGGGGAACTAAAGTGAAACAGAATTACTAAACCCTCTACGTGATCCGAGTGGTGGTTTAAAGAACCAAGCACAATAAATTTTGTTGTTGCAGAACGTCTGTTTCCAAAAAGTTCAGCACATTCACCTTATGCAAAGGCACCTGCTCAGACACAGACATCTTCTCCTTTCAACAAAACCAGCCAGGGCTAATACTGTTCCTTGCAGAATAGTGGGTGAGGAACTGCATGATTCAGCACCTGGACACTGCCAGTACTAGAGCACACGAGCCTGCCCCCACTCTGACAAAGATGAATTACTGCAGCTTGAAGACTGAAACTATTCCTGCAGATCTCCTCTGTTTGCATTACAATCCTTTCCTTATTTCTCAGTCCCTCTCCTTCCAAGCCATCCTGACGCTTCCTGACCCTCCCTTCCACACACCCCCACTGGTTGTTTTTCTATCTGAAGGTCACTTCAAGGTGGTTGGATGCAGCACGTGTCACTGTGCTAAACTGCTGAAGCCAGCTCCCATGAGACAAAAGGAACTTGGCAAAATTCAGGAAATTTCTCTTTTGAAATGAGTGCATGTTCATTCAAAAGTCATGGAACCTGTTCAACTTAATTTTAATGGCTACAAGGGAAAATAATGGACAATAGTTGTTTTGCTGGTGGTGGTGCTGACGTTTTGGTTTTTTTTCATTTTACATAACAAAGTTGGCTTCTGGTACATGTAATTATTTCTATTTCCAGCCTGCCCGGTACAAGGTGATACAGCTAAACAAGATTACTTGCAGATGGTTTCCAGACTAAACTACAATGCTAAATGAAGTAACTTACTAATGGAAAGTACTAAAGCTTCTTGTAGCCCCCCAGAACACTGGAGGCATTTTAAGGTTACTGCACAGAGATTTGTAGAGAGGACCACGTTCCTCCAAGGAGTTGAGAGCCTCCTGTGAGATGCGAGGGCAGCCAAAGGAGTCTCAGTGGTTCACAGGGCCTTATAAACACACACTTTGCAACTGTTTCCAAGTATTTGTTTTTGCCATGTTGTGTCAGAAACAGCTGTACCAGAGGGACATGCAAGGTTTTACACAGAGCACCAACATACGCTGTAGAAGATTTTAGTTAATCATCTTTTATTTTTTTGAAGTTCACTTGAAAAAACACACACAGAGCTGATGCTGGGATGTTTTTAATCAAGATTCAGTGTTCACATTTGGATTTTCTTCTTGCCATTATATCAGCTGTCATTTCTATCAAAAAGTTTCTCAAAATTGTTTAACGTAATTTAAGGACCAGAAGATGGGTGCTGAAGGCATCTACGTAGCCCAGGCTGGGGCTGGGGTCTAATCAAGGACTTTCTGGAGGTAGTGGGCCCTTGTGCAGTTGAGAGACAATCTCATACCAGCCAAATCTCCAGTTCAGACGTGTAGGTAGCCTCACAAGACAACAGAAAATTAATTTTACTACTCTGCAAAGTTAGACGAGGTATCTTTAGAGAACAAGAAGCTTTTCTCTAAATCCTTACCTGCGCAGGTTGTATTAACAGCAGCCTTTCAAGCGAAGAACAACCACCAAGTCTGTAGCAACTCCTGTCCTATGGTGCAAGGCATCTGACTACTAGATGTTTTCCTAGGACGAAAACTAATCCCTGAAAAATTCTGTCTCAGCCACCTCTTAGAGTTCCATTACTTATTCTGTGACACCAAAGTTCAAGTTGTTCTTTCTCTCAACAGGGCATGGTGGGGTTATATATATTAATTGTAAGAAATATAGGCACAATAACAGGGATTGAGAAAGCCCAGAAAGTTTGAATTCATACAGTTCAATAGTAAATGTATCCCAGCAATTTCCATATCTTCACTACTGCTTTGGACGTTTAGGCAAATGCAAATTCTCCATTTGTTGAATCTAGATATATTATGTATATTACATTGGTATTTTGCCCTTACCTGAATCCTCCAAAGTAGGTATTACTAACAAAGTAATTAGAATGAGAATGGTTTTAGAACTAGAAAAAATTACCTGACAGCACTGAAAATGGGAATGCTCTGTGTGCTATAAAACTTGGGAACTGCACTTCAGGATGTCAACATTTCCATAAGAAAGCAATTGCATTGATGAAAGATGATAGGTAAAATAGCCTGAAAATTTGTGTATGTGTGGGGAAGGGAGTTCAGAGATAGTTAGTTGACTGGAACAGGAATGGATATTATTATAATAAACCATTAGAAAATGTTCTTCCTTTTTTCTTTTTTTTTTTTTAGAGTTTGTTGCTGAGCTACAGATTATTGCTGTTATAAAGAATGGCCTTGGAACTGAAGACTAAGCTTTTAAAAAGTAGTTGTTGTAACAAAAAAAAAATAACAGACTGGTGGACAAAACATAGCATAGTGTGATACGCTCTCTCTTCCCTAGCTCTCATAAGACTTGGCAACATTATAATGCCAGCATATTTCATGACTCGAAAAATAAAAAACAAATTATTTTGTCATCATTGCTCCTGCCAAGAGACACATACCTCCCGCTCCTTCACTAGAAACCAGCATACTTCATCTCTGCTCTGCTCATGAAGCTAATAGCCAGGACTGGTACATGTGATCCCCACGCAGCGTGCCAAAGGGAGCAGCCAAAGCTGTAGAGACAATACAGACCAGCTCTTCAACAACACAGCTCTTATATAGGAAGCATCTTTGCATTGTGGAGAGGAGCATGGGGATAAAATTCTTGTGCCACTTGTTTCCATTAATCAATAGGTTAACAAATAAGTAATTCTAAAAAGCACATGTTAATTGTTATGTTTCTGATGAACCACAGCCCCATCACCCAGTCGGATGGCAGCACTTGGCATCCCCCAAGATGCATCTGTGCGGGTCTGGGCATGGGGGATTTTGCCTGCTCCAATGCCTCAACAGGGCAGAGGTCTTGTTTAGAAATCTAAACCATGAAATTTTATTTCAGCTACATTCTTCTTAAAGGATGAAAGACTGATGTTTGTTTGAATGGTTTTTTTGGATGCAATAACACAGCAAGTACTGAATTCTGCTCCATATTTCAGGTCCCTAGAATATAAGAGTACCTGGCAAAAATAAATGTACTTCCAAAACATGCAGGACAAAAATCCTTAGCATTCAGCATCTGGGCTCCAAGGGCACCCACAGGTCTGGCTGTCCCTATTGGCCCCTGGGTTTCCCACACCTGCCCATGGTCACCATGTGAGCCCCCTCCAGCCCATCAGCCTCTGCCCCAGTAACACTGCAGCAAGGCTGGTCTCACACTCCCTAGAGCAGACCCACGTCCTAGCTTGTCCTTGGCCCATTCCCATCCTCAGGAAGGTCCCTCATGCCTGAGGCTGCCCTGGTTCCCTGCTCCTGGCGGGGTGGTGGGACAGGCCCTGGCTGCCCAGCTCTGCCCTGACAGCCCCATGGGAGCCCCTGCTTCCACTGGCCCTCATGGGGCCCTGGAATTCAGCTTGAGAAATGCACGCAGATTAGCTGGTTTTCATATGAGCAATTTGGTTGTACATTTTAAAAATTGGCAATGCTTATCTATTTATTTTTTTAATACGTGCATTTTAAAGTGCTTTAAAAGATAAGTAGTTATCATGTGGTTAATAATTCATGGAAAAATTCAAATGAATCAGAGGACAATATTGCATCACAAGCCAATGACGCTGCTTTTCAAAATATTACTCAAGGAAAAGTCAGTGATAGGGAGATGAAGTAGAATTACCCAAAGAAACATGGTAGGCTGACAGCAAAGTCAGAAATTGAAATAAAATAGTCCAACACCCAGTGCAATGCACATGTCTACTAGATGCTATTTCTACTTCACCATGGTTAACTAGAAGCACTGACAGAAGAGTTAAAACAAATGGGAGTAAAACAAATAAACAAATAAAACCATTCCCGATTCTAATTCAAGAGGTTGCTCAGAAACCCTTTGCACGAGTGATAACGTATCTCTATTTGAGAAATTTACCTTTAAAATTTACCTATACAATCTGCTTTATTTTCCAAAAAATAATTGCCAGATTTGATTTCACCGACGGTCTTCAAAATGCAGAATTCCTCCACTAAACTGAGTGGCATTAAACCACACACACCTAGACACGAGACCAACAGCTAGGCAGAGAGTTTTCATATGGATACACACCATGTCTACAGTATGAGTAGCACATGGAGCACAGAAATTGCCAAAACTCATCCTGTTTCCAAAACTGCAAGAAAAAGAGAGAGGATTAGGCATGTCTGGGAAAGTGCCCTCAAATGAAAAGGAAAAAAAAAAACAACAACAACAAAAGAAGCCACTGTTTTAAGCAGCAGAAGTGTACTGAAGGTGAGTTATACTTTATTTTATTTCATTAAAATATATTTTAAAAACATACTGTGTAAAAGAATTAGGATGCTCAATAATTTATTATTTACATTAACAAATTCTGTTTGACTGTTATTCTATAGATAGAAATGAAAAGTCTGCAGAAGGGAGTTGTATCAGCTTCTTCGGGACCAAGCAAGCCTCTTTTCCAAAAAACCCATCCAAAACACATTCCTTCCCATTTCAATCCCTTCGAATTCAGATTTGCAAACAGATCACAAAAAGCTCAATGAGAGGTCATGTTGGCAAGTGTTAAGCACTCATAGCGAGAGCAAGAACTTCAGAGTGCAAGAGAGACTCTGAGGAGACTTTAACATCACACTAGTCATGAGGCTGCATAGTCCAATCCCACTCTTGCTCCCACTGTCCTCCTATCTCTGCTGAAATCCATGGCATTACACTACCCCTCCAGTCAGATCTTGGAAAGCTAGACAGACTCCTTGAGACTGGTTGGCAGTGGAGAGTGTTTTTCCTACCACCCTAGACACACTACAGCTTATCAGTCTTTTTCAGTCCAAATATAACATAAATCTTCCTTCCCAACCCCTGGGAAGAAATATGCATAGGGAATTATCTCTCTGATGTAAACAACTGTAAGCACCATTCACATATGCTGGTCCACATTAAAAAAAAAAAAAAAATATATCAAAGTGCCTGCCATAGCCTTGACCCTTCTTAGCAGAGCAGCTCAGCTCTCCCATCAGCTTTCCAGACTTCTGAAATCATATGGGTACCCAAACATCATCCACAGTCCATTGCAATGCCAGCTGCTGCCTGCTTTACTATTCCAGGAAAGAGCAGTCGCCCTTTCAGTGATTATATAAAAGCCCATGATTAAAAGGAGTAAAGCCATCAGCTCATGTGTTCTGTTTCCTGGAGGCACTCAATGGTATTTCTGACATCTCGTGTAAGGCACCAATCATCCAGTAGCTGAGCAAGAAGCGACCCACAAGACCTCCATTAAGCAACCACAGAGGGAACTGACAAAATTCAGCTGCTTTGCTTGTCTTCTTGCTTACACAGCATAAAAAGCGTGGTCACGCCATCTGGGGAAGTTTCTGTTGGTATCCCAAAAGAGGAAGCCTCAACTTGCACTGCAAGCCGAGGAGCACGGATGACAACATACTACAGCACAAGTTTCTGATGGCTGCATCACAGTGGCAGTTCCCACAGACACGGCAGAGATTTCCTTGAGCCCCAAGAGGCCTCTGCTGCCTTGCTTTCACAGAAAACAAGTCTGTTGTCAACGGCAAAGCAGTTACCTCCTTACAAGATGTCTCCATAACACACAACGGAGGACCACACTACAAAATCAGCTTTGTGGCGTACTTGCTGCAGCTTCTCTTCTGTTGGTCTTGTCTGCACAGCCTTATTCACAGAGATGCAATGCCAGAGATAGCAGAGCCTGTAGATGAAGAGGTTGGCTGGATGCTGGCTGACTGCATCCCTGAGCAGCCTCAGTCCAGAATGTCAGTCTCAAATGGAACCAGGTGGTAGTACGTCAAATTGGTGACATATGCTGTTGGATCATCACTGTCTTCTAGCTCTGAGGTAAAGTCACTAACACTTTCGAACCTAAGGAGAAATGAAAGAAAAACAAATACCAAAAGGCATTAAATGATTAGTGTTCATTCAGAAAATCAGAGTCAAAGGAATTGGAAGAACAGTACTAAGGGAGAGGGAGACATACTTGGAGCTGATTTAATCCACACCTCCTCTTCCTCCTTCTTATACTCATGTGTATATGAGTAAACCATAGGCCAGTGAGAACCATGGTACATGCAAGCAAATAAATCTTGTGACCCCTGACTTTCAAAGCTACTAGTGAGGAAGGAAGGAAGCAGCAAGTGAGCCTTGGAAAAGTGAATCATGCAGCTGAAGTCCACATCCTTCTATTTTTTTCCCCCAGCATGTAGCAACAACATGAAATGTCTCAGTTCTCACGCAAAAGTGAAAAGGGAACTGCCTTTGTTTCCCATCTGAATTTGGACTCTCACCCTTTTACTTCACATGTACCTTCTTTTGTTTTTTGTAAGAGGCCAAATGTCTAACACAAGTAGGAAGCTATGACTACAGTGTCCTTTTTCTAGAGCCTTGCTGTCCTCCCTATGGCACAAAATTTTAATTTTGGCAAGCAAAGAAATCCTAAATGTAAAGAGGTTTCAAATTTAGTTCTACTTGTTTTGGTATTTTCCCTCCCACTTCCCAAATCCTGTGTTATAACCTGAACTTCTGCAAGGATTACCCACTGTCTCACACCTACTCTCAACCAGAAGGCATCAGCGCTTGCTAAAACCTACACCTTCCTCAATTATACACATTTCCATTCCAATGAGGCTTGAATTTCTGCAATAACAGACATTATCTTCTTCCTCGATAGCCTAGCAGTTAAAGGTAGTCACTCCAGACCAAGGATTAAATTTCATCTCAGTTTTAGAAAGGGATTTGAAGAACTGTCAAGTTTCTTTTTCTCACACTCTCTTTAATATTTTGAAAGAACTTTCATTTACTCTGATAGAGTGAGAAATAAAATAAAATAGAAACTGAAAAATTTGGAAAAAGATGGAAAAAGAAATCCTAACCTAGCTCTGACTATAGCATGTGTTTTTAACACCTTATTAGGCTGTTCTACTTCAGCTCTCTGAATGGCAGATAAACAGATGAGCTTTAAAAGAATTAATATTTAAAACTGCATCTCACTAGCATATGAACTAGTTAAGACTCTTACCTAAGAGTTGCTTAGGTAAGTGAAGCAACTGCAGACATCCTTCTAAACTCACCCTAGAGAGTGGCCTAAGAGTCAGGTATTTCAGAGGACCTGAAGAAGAGTGGTAGGATAAATAAAGAGATAAATCTCCCACTCCCATCTCTTCCCGAAACTATTTAGAAGCATCACTGGTTACTGGATAGCCTGGTCTACACATCCTGGGATGTATGACTGTAGTTCTGTCTTTTCTGTACTCTTGCCTGATCCTTCTCATCTCTTTTTTTAACTATGAGAACCACAACATTTTTTTGAGCAGAAATTTGTAGATTTTCTCCTGCAGTGCTGTTGCTATGCTCTTCGCTTTAAATGAAACAGAAATGAGACTGAACTTTGAATGTTTATTACCCTCATTCCTCCACTCCCTTCAGGCTATTTGCTTCCCTGCATGTGTGGGAACATGTGCAGAGGGGAGTTGACTTGGTATCTTGCAAATACTTCACAGATCACGTTGTGCTATCTTATGCACTGCTAGTGATCCAGAAACAACAGATTATGAAATACCAGTGGGGCAGACAGAATGAAGAAAGCATAAGAGGAGTCAAGAAGGTTACTCAGATTCTGCTCTTTTTCTCTTGTCAATAATATAAAACAAGATTATTACAACTGAAAGGTCCCACAGATTTTGTGGTTCTTCAGGATCACTGATAGGTTACTACAACCAGAATGTGAGGTACAAAGCAGTGGCGTTCAGATGCTGTGGTTAAGCAGAAAGCTTTCCTTGCCACCAAAAAGGAAGTGTGTGCACAGAAGTCTGCAAAGCAGCACTCTAGAGTGCTCATACAAAACCAAAACCAATGAGCCAGGACTGTTTACTACAGTTAGCAGTGTACAGGGCACCCAGCAGTCAAAATACTTTTGTGCTGTTACCAGCAAGTCTGTTCTCAAAATAAACCCTGCAAGCTACTATGGACCTGCAGACTCCTAAATGCCCAAACTGCTGCTCTTGCTACTTTTTCCACAAAGTACCTTGACACACATACTGTCTTTTGCAAGAGCCTACTTCTTGTGCTGCTAAGACAGACTTCTTTACTATTTTGACCTTTGTTAATGCAGTAGAGAAAGAACGCCTGGAAAGCTGCCTGCCATGGGCAGGGACATGTTCCAGTAGACAAGGTTATGCAGAGCCTCATCCAGTCTGGTGCTGAATTCCCTCCTCTACCTGTATGGGGAGTCCACAAGCTGGGCAATCTGTTCCAGTGCCTCACTACCCTTATAGTAAAGAATTTTTTCCTAATATCTAATCTAAACCTACCCCCCTTCAGCTTAAGGCCATTTCCCTTTGTCCTATTACTATAGAAAATTTCTGCTTTAAAAAAAAAAGTTCAATTTTCTACACAATAGCTGTGCTACACTGGTGCCATTATCTTCTGGCTATTACCTCTTGGCTAACACAAAGTCAGGCTGTTACTCTACATTTACTGCTTCCACTGCAGTTTCTGGGAAACCATGCCCACAACACAGCTTTTATCATACTAGTATTTTCTGGCCTTAATTGTCTCTACTTCAATGAGATGACAGTAGATGATGGCAGTTTCTGACCTCAGGCTAGTAAGTTTTGCTTGGGCTGCAGCATATTTTTCAAATCAAAACCAGTTTATAAGCATTTTTTTAAAAGAAATTTTTTAAATAATCAAAATAAGAAAGGAAAAGGCTTTCTTTGGTCATTTGCTCTTATTATTTGTCACTCTCAGTTTTAAAGAGTGATCCACTGAGACGCATATCAACTTTAATTTCCAGACAATGGCCTTACAAAATTACCTCTAGTGTGCCATTTCAGCCTCATTAATACAAGCTTATAAGCTTAAGTGCTGTTAGCAAGGTCAAGGTTCAAAACACTAAGTGATAAGTTAATAAAAAGACTTGAAGAAGTGACACTGGAGCCAGAGATACACTCCAGCTTCTGATAAAATCTTGTCAAGCTCTAAACCTTGCTACAGACTGTCATTTACCACATCTAAAATGTGGCAAGACAGATCACTGCTTTGAAAGACAAAGGATCCATAAGGCTTTTAGTGTTCTGTTTCCATCATTTTGACTGGTCTAATGAAAAAGCAGGTAATGTTTCTCATCAAAAATATTTAAGTGCTTCACTACCTGAAGTTCTTTTAAAATATAAATCACCTGCTATGACAGAAATCTGTGCAAATTTCCATCAATACCCATTAAGTCACTGACTTAAGACTGCCATGAATCACAGAATTGTTAGGGTTGGAAGGTAACTCTGGAGATCATCTAGGTCAACTCCCTACCAAGGTGGGGTCAACCAAGAGCAGGTGACACAGGAATGAGTCCAGGTAGGTTTGGAATGTCTCCAGTCTCAAACATCCTTAGAAATGGCATATCCTACTACTCTTTGTAGTAGGATATGCCGTTTCTAAGGATGTTTGAGTTTCCACATTTGGGCTCAAAGCAGCTCTCATCACAGTCATGAGAGAAAGAAAAAACTCTATTCTCACCTGGCAGGATCCCTATGACAACCACAGTTCTTTTTTCATACGGAGGATTGAGCTCCTTGGCATCAATCATTCTACCATTTTATCCCTTTTAACAAGAAATTGCTGTGAAATGTTAACAATCAGGCCCAGTAATCTTTAGCCCATCAGAATGACAGCTGTACCGATCTTGCTCTGAGACAGACAATAACATTTTGCTAGGGTGGTGGGAAAGCTACAGTTTACCCGAAGGTGATGGCATTGCTCATGCTCAAACCCCACTTACAAATGTTCTGCTGAATCTACATCCAGGTGCTTCTCTTTTCCATTTGGTATACTGTGGTCAATGACTATTGTTTCAGTGTTGGCTAAACAAAATCCATTTGATCGCATGATTTCTGTTGGGAGAAGAAAGAAAGCATAATGAAAAAAAAAAAAAAGCTGGAAAATAACTGCATATCATATTTAATTGACATGGCTATGAACTGAGATGTGTGCATGACACTGAAAATTGCACATGAAAGCAGGAATGAAGAGTTGGTTTCATAGCTTCTTACCTCTGCAAACTGCCAGTGCTCAAGCAATTTTATTCACCTAATCAATTCATGACACAGAGCATCTGAAGCAACTAGCACTACCAAAATACAATTGTATTTTTCCTAGTCAGTCCCAGGCTTAAGCCACTTAAGGAAAAATAAAAAGACAGAAAAAGGGAAATAAAAAGTGGCCTTCCAAGTTAATTCACCCACCAATTTCAAGTCACGTAAAGCAATATCATGTTTTACACTGCCTTTAGCCCTGCTTATTTTTCTCACTGTTTAAGAAGCCTCCAATACAGAATATCTGAAATTTACACCTGATTCCACCAACTTACTACCATGGGGAGAATTGATAATTAGAATAGTATTTGATGTGAATGAGAAGTTAATCCACATCTGCGCTGTATGGAAAGTCAAACTAGGCAAGTCACAAGGATGTCTTTTGGCCACACAATCTCAGATTAAGCTAGAAATGTCACAAAACAAATATACATCTTTTAAAAAATCAGCACTGACTTAAATAGGATGACTCCTGATCTGCCTCAAGGTACAGTGGCCCTGTGAATGAACCTTTCATTCTGAGCACAACAAAAGGAAAATAGCCTGTGGCGGAAAATATGGTGGGCAGAAAACACACAAACAAATTTCAGTTATACATACAGTTCAAGTAGTGAACAGGAGATGAGATAGGAGAAAGAAGGCAGTTTTTAAACATTTATATGGTCCTAAGGTAAAGTCAGAACTGACTTCCATATTTTTCTTGAGAATCATCTTTGACATTCAGTCCATATTTTACTGCAACTCACTTCAGCAGAATATGCTTGAGGGTTGTAAAAACAGTGAGTCCCAGCAGAATCACACTTCACATTACTTATCTTGAGCAAACATTGAACTGCAGAATAAGATTTATACCATAGATTCAAATTCATCTTTCATCTAAGAGGGCAGCCCCTTCTCTCTTTCCCATCACCTACCACTGTGATCAGGACCATGTGGGGGACAATTTGTGTTTTTCAGAGAATACATTTTTGCCTGCTTTTCTAAGACTGCAAGCCACGTAGAAAGCTGCTGCGCTATGATTAACACAAATGCCAGTGTTTTCCTGGTGTCCTTGACATGACCTAAGAGTTACAGCACTTCACAGCTTTTCACATTATCATTTACTGCCATCTACTGACAATGCTGCCAGACACTGAACCATTTCCAGTGTGCAACTTACAGACGAGGGAAATACCAGTTAACATCAAACTTCCACCAACATTTTTACATTATTTGCAGCAATCACTCCAAAACTAATAAACACAAGATGCTTTTTGGATAGCTGCATAGGTAGGAAAATTTTATTCTAATTAATTAGGTATGACTCATCTCTACGAAAACTAATTAAGAATTGAAACAAAACCTGTTATTATTCGGCTAACACAGTTTCCACAGCTCCTCTACATACAGGTTGGCAGGAGGGCTCCCTTTGCTGTTAGCCTCTGCCCATCAGACAGGCCCCCTTGCTCTGAATTTAGCTTCATCTTGACTGTCGTCTCTGTGTTGTACCCACCATGTGCCATATTCAGTCAAGCACACACAGAGTACATATGCCCTGGGGGGGTGCATGCCTTTCCAAAAAGTATATGAAACCCTTCCAAACAGCAAAAAGCTCAAACTAGAGAAATGCTTCAGCCTCTAACCTATGAAATTCCAAATACATTTATTCTTGATATTTGCTATTTGCAACAAGAGCAAGACATTATTGACAGCAGCCACCCTCGAAACACTTTTATAGCATTTAGTTTGGCATTCCCTCACTTCACATAATCGGTAGGATCTAGGACCCACTTTGCAGCTCTGGTCTCACAGAGTAGCAACATACCTCAGACAAAACCTGTTAATATGCTCTCAAGGGTCAGTGCTGAGAACATGACCTGGCGTTCAGGAGCAAAGCCAGTAACCATGTCAGCCTTTGGAAGAACATACGCATGAGGAATTTTATGTCAGGTTTCCACATCAACTCAAGACATCATCCAAACCTCTCTAGACACAAGTGTCAAGCAAGATAAGCATGTTGGCTCTTGTTTCTTGCTCCCAGGAAGCCAGACCTGCATCACCCCACTTTGCAGTGTGTCCCTGGGGGCTGCTCTTTACAATCCCTGAGCTGTCCCACAGCCTGGGCTTGGGTGGCTCTGCGAGAAAGCACGAGACTAAACTGGCTGGCAAGACCACGCTTCTCACTGAGTCTCTGTATTACACACTACGCTTCTAAAGAGTTATTGGTGGGGTTTTAAACCATCTTCCATTTAATAAAAAAAAAAATATTTATTTAACAGGGACTAGTTCACTTAGAACCAGAGCTAAGGATCAATTACAAATAGTTTACCCTGCGTATAAGAACAACCTTTAAGATACAGTGTTTACATCTTTAGCATGTTGACATGCTGACTGGCCATTAACAGATATGTCATTACTACCAAAGAAAACTGATACCAGTTTCTTGCTAAACAGTTTATGCATTTTGAAATACTACACTATGTAGTATTTCACTTCAATTAACTCTCTGAATAAGCTCTTCTTGTGACACAGCAGTTGACATTAGGCTCAAACAAAATGTTTCAGTATGGAAATACAAAACCAAGCACACTAGAAGTTCACAAACCTTTTAACAATGGTCAGTAGCAGATGAAGAGGGGAAAAGTTAAAAGAATAGGCAAGGATAGAATAATACTGCTCTCCACTATCCCCACTAGCAATCTTTGGTTTGGGAACTTTCTATGTCTCCACCTGTGACAGGTTTCAATGTACTTTTCCTCCACTTGCTTGTCTAATTCCTTTTTTGAAGTCACTTATGCTTTCAGTTCCTCCATATCCCATGACAATGAGTTGCACTCCTCAACTATGTTCTGTACAGAAACAAAACAATATTATAACCTTTCTTTTGTTTGCTTAAACCCTGTTGTCTGTCAAACGATATTGGATAACCTATACCTCTTGTTTCAAGAGAAGTGCAGGGTACTGACTGCCTCCTTTTCAGGGCTTTATAGATTTCCATCACACCCCCGCTCTCGCCTCTTCTCATAAGTGAAGTGTTTTTCTTTATTTAACCTCTTCCTTAGAGAAGCTGTTCAACCGCTTGAGTCCTTGTCCTTTATTTGTGTAATTTTAAATTCTATTATATCCTTTCTGAGATGGAGAGACCAAAATTGTGCACAGTGTATTCAAGATGGGGTTGTGCTCCTCTCCTCTGTTTTCACCTCCTTTCTTAACAATATCTAATATTCTCACTGCTGGCTTTGTTCACCGCTTGGCACTAAGCTTACATTTTCATAGAACTGTATCAATAGCCTCAAAATCTTAAGTGGTAAAAAAAAATATGCAGCAAGGACTGCATTTTCCTCACATCCACTTCTTTGCATTCATCACCCTCCATTTCACCTGCCACTCTATTGCCTGAATACATGTTGCATAGTATCTCGAGGCTAATTACATGTTCTGAGAACTATCTTTTGAATTGCTGATAGAAAAAGAATAAGGGAACAGCAAATAAAGTAATTTTCATTCTGTAACTCTTGTGTCAACTGCAGGAAGCTAATAACTCTTACCTGATATTTTAACTGGACTTTGAAAATTTGGCTGAATTTTATGGACATTGTCATTTTTCAGAACTTGGTCCAAAGGAGATCTCTCAAAGAACGTGAGGACAACTTCAGATCTTGAATACTTAAAAAGAGAGAGAAAAAAACAGACATCATTTTTTACCAGTGGTTTGCTTTGTCCCCCTTCCCCCTCTCCGCCCCTTTCTAGTATGACAGAAAGACTCATTACAAGCAACAGCTTGGAGGCATCGTACACAGTTCTGGCCCTCAGCATTTCTCCAAGATACTCAATAAATTGCTGCTTCTTTCAGAGTTTGGCAAAGCCCACCACTTTCTAATCTGCATGAGAGTGCATGTCACCATAAGGAGTCGTTAAGCTGGGCTAAATTGGAACTTGGCTCACTCACCTTCCAGGGCATGTTTATAATAGTCTTCAGAAGCTTTTCCACTTCATTAAGTCTGGCTTCTATATCTTGGGCTTCTTTTATTGTGATGAGCCCTAGAAACAAGGTAAACAGATCATAAGCATACACAAAAGCACACTTACACACATTTCAGTAGCCAGAAGCAGCCACTCAAGATGTGAACAACCTCAAATATGCCTCCCAGAAATGTCTTTTAAACCAACTGATGATAAAGAGTGCACCCCAAACCGAAGTGCGTGCAGTTACAAGCAGAGTTGCAGGCCTGACACAAACTCAGCTGTTTGTGATCATATTTAGGAACTGCAAGACAAGCAGAAGTAGAACCACCTACTCCCTCACCCACAGTTTTGCTACACAGCATTCCCAGCAGTGATAATCAAACAGCCTGTTTTCTGCTTCCAAGAACCATTATTCATCTTTTTTTTCCCCTGTCAATAAAAAGTAAAAGAAAACCCAAGAAAACAAAAAAATACAACCCACAGATAAGAAGACAAAAATAAACACAAGCTAAACAAAAGACTTTGAGGACAGTTTTGTATTTCTCTGACTGTAAGCCCCAGTGAGCGCCTCAAGGAAAATTTCTCAGTATCATGTTCTTCAAGTGCAAGACCACTGTTCGGATTTCTTTTTTTTTTCATATAATCACTGAATTACCGCAGTGCTGCTGAGGGAATTAAAATGGGAATTTTACTGTCCAGTGTCCAGAAGGACGGACTACAAAGCAATTTTGAATTGCTCAGTATGGTGATCTTCAACTGTAAAAGTATATTTTGTATGTATAACCTGCAGGACATCTGTAACTTCCCCCTCCTCTAGCAGGCTGAGAGAAACCTAGCACAGGTTTTATGCATGTACAGGGAATACGAGGAGAAATAAACTCCAAAATCTCACATTCCTCTAACGGCCCTTTTATTTCTGATATTTGCACCTACTTTTTCAAATTCAACCATCATTTAGCCCTACATTTGTGCATCTTTTCCAAGGAGCAGGATACACACGTGAAAATTAAATACCTGAGACAAATTATTAAATTTAACAAGCCACACCAAACAAACAACAACAAACCAAACCAACTAACCAACCAAACAAAAACAAAAACAAAACAAAAAAACCCCAACAACAAAAAGCTGGAGCAGGAAAAGACACAAAAAATCAAAACCATCAAAATTGCAAATCTGCAAAGCAGTCTTTAAGAAAGCACTTCAATATACTAAAATTGTGCTAAATTAAGTGCATCTCCATCTCCCTATTCTAAGGACAAATGTACATGAAGAACCATAAATATGCACAGCGTGGGAACATCCACAGTTTCAGTCTGCATCAGTCCCTGTTGTTTGCCACCAAAGAGATATGATCCCGTACAAACTTTCCAGACAAAAGCATGACTTTGAAGCTGTCAGCTCTCCTCCAGTTACAGCTCTAAATAAAACAGAGATTGTTTCCAAAGCAACCGGGTTTACTTGATGGATGCCCCACAAAAGTAGCCTGTTTGTATAAGACCTTCTCTTGCTCAACGAGTCCTTCATTTTGCCTGTTTTTTTCAGCATCACTATCACTTCATCCCAGTACAACTCCCTGCCTCTTCTAACAGCAGAGCAACGTATACCTGCAGGCATATAAGGAAGTCAGTGTGTGTTTTGCTTTGAATGGTTACACTATGGTCGAGTAGCTTTGCATGGAAATTCTCTGAAAGGCTGCAAATGAGAAAAAACTCATCTGCATGGCTCAACAGGCTGCCTTTTAGCTGGGTTGTGCTTCACATTACAGACCTGAATTGCAGACCAGCACCTTTCATCTTCCTAACTACTGGGTGTGACCAGGCCTGGGTGGATCTGCTTCGCCCCTCCGTAAATATGTTCCCATCCCACATCTGAATGACATTCAAACCTTTCAATACAAGTGGTTTTATCCTCCCTAAAAAAAGACTCAGACACTCACCTATGATGTCAGAAACATGCTGCTGCCCTGCTGTAGCCCACATTACAGAAAACAGGGCCAGCCACCCTGATGCCAGATACTGTGGGGTGCCTCCACTTCCCCTGCTGGTCATGATCCACACTGCATGAATAACTGATACAGTCAGAGCAGAGACTACCTGACTGTGGCTCCCCCACCTTGTGGGTGAACATCTCATCGTCGACCCACCTGGGTTCCGGCATTCAACTGCTCTCTCTCAAATCTGCCTTCGATCTTGGACCCTTTCCCAGATAAACATTTACTGTTGAAACTGGTATTTTATCAAGAAGAGGGATACTTTCAAACAAATGAAGATACTTGGATCAGGAGGGGGAGAAAAAGAAAAGAAAAAAAACACCACCAAACAAAATAAAACCTTGCCAACAACCCTGAGCATTCATCCTGAGAGGAAAACCAGCCAAGCGGTTAGGATTTTCTCTCATTAGTAATCAGGGAAAGCATCTGCAGCTCCACACGGCCTTTTTATGCTTCACCAAGAAGTCAGACAAGGCTGTCAGCCTGTTGCACTGTCACAGATCACCCCGTGGGAGGTTTCACAGCTTCCTGCATTCACCAGGAATTTCCAGCCCTGGTATATTTCCTCCTTCCAGCTCTTGGAATGACACCAGCCATGCAAACCCACACTGCAACTTGGAAACTGGCACAGACAGCTTGTTACATCTGACACAATAAAAACCATTTCTTACTGAAGCTTTTAGTAATATCAAAACCAAAAAGCAGACAGCGTAGGAAGGAGAGTAAGTGATACATCTGCCTGGACAGCTTCCTATATATGTGCCTAATGATTGCAGACGCACAGCTTTGGGGTATAAAGCTGCTGACCTTAAATGAATTCCCCACACAGGGAATTCAGTTTGGCCAGGCTAAAGCCTTCCTTTTCATACATCTACAACCCAAACACACAGAAACCACTTGCCTGGCTATATATACATATATTGAAACCCATAATTTCTTCTGCAATTGCCACAAAGTTTGTAAGGCTGTCATTTATCTTAATTCCGCAAGTCTCTGTTTTTAAGAGTTAACAGATGCTTTTGTGGTTTTCTCTTAGTCATAGCCAGTGATCTCACAGCCCCAGGGACTGCTCCCAACCCCACAGCCATGCAAACCAGAGCGAGGCACTGGCTGCCCAAGCAGCCAGGAGGAGTGGAGGTCCCAGTCCCTCCTTTTAGTCCCACTCAGCACTCACTAACTGGCTGCTGTCATCAACCACGGCACATACGTGCATGAGGAACACCGTGGTTTTGCAAGGTAAAATCTCTGGTGTCAACACTGGTTTAAGGTGCTCTCACCCTCCCCTGCACCTCACTTCCTCTCCCACACCACAACACAGGGCTGCCTCTGCTTTGCCAGCACAATTAGGTGAGCAGCAGGGAATACCTCAAACCACTCTTGTCAAAGGCTTCACCTCAGGAAACCCCAGACTTCACAGAAGAAACAAGAGACTGCAGGCTAGGATGCCCCATTCAAGCTCCTTTCTTACACAGACACTATACTAAGTTTGAACAGGAATCAGGATTTGTGCAAAGAAGGGTCACAGAACCGCACCCAAGTTTCTTCACTTTGGGGGGGCTTCTCTCCTGCCTGCCTTCTTTCTCCTGTTTGGAAGATTTGATGAGGCAGAAAGAGAAGAGAAATAAAAAAAGCCAGAGACTGATGTAGGATCTCCAGACCCTGGAAATGCCTGAACAGTCAGACACACACACACATGCCAGCTGACTCTGCAGACAGAGCCCAGCACCCCCATCATTCATTAACCCTGACACAAATGCACCACAAGCTGGATGCATCTGGAGTGCGTGGGACTCCCTGGCCACATATGAAGCATCCGTACAGCAGCTACAACACCCCCCCCCAGGCTGTTGTCTCTGTCCACAGACCATAAATATGTGCCTGGCCTATATTTCCATCTGGGGCTTTTACAACCCAAGAGCCCTTATTCCATTTGCTATAAAATAAAAATAAGATACCGGTAAAGCAACCAGTATCCTGGAACCAGTTGCGCTTTCTCCGCTTGTTCAGTCATGCAACAGAACTGAGCTCAGAGCTGGGAAATTTGCTAGTGAGGTCATGGTGAAAGGCTGTTCTCATGCCTTTTTCTCTGCCCTGGCCCTTGTCTGACTGATAATGGAAAACATGCACAAACTCCTCCCAGGAAAACTTTGCTCTTTGTCTGTGCTTGGACAATTAGCTGTTATTTCAAGTGATTTAAATGCTATAAACACTTATGTTTATAGAGCTTGAGGTAAACTGGGGTCCCCCTGCCTCCTATTTTTACCACAAATCCTATTGTCAAATACCACAAACTTCTAGGATTCTTTCACCCTGCACGGTGGATGCCAGGAGGGATGACACAGGCATACAACCTAACCCAGGGTGGCACTCACCCGCTGTGTGCACGGTCCCCATAGTCAGTGACCTCACTCAATCCCTCTGACATCTTCTCTACTGCTTTCCAGATCAAGAGCCCCAGGCAGAGTCCTCAAGACTCCGTGAAAAGGATCTGTTTGCAGTTTCAGACGAAGCGTAGGTGGCAACTTTACGCAGAGCAACACGTGTCTGGAAAAGCACGGTGCCAACAGCACCAGAGGCCTGCAGCATCCTTCCTGCTCTGGGACCCTGGTGCTGGAGCAGCTGCAGGAGGCTGGGGGGGCAGGCCAGCAGCTGCGTACCTGGTATGCTGGCCCACGGTGCGGGAGAGGGGCCCAGAGCTGTAAACAGGCAGGAAACAACTCAGCAGCAGAGAAGAAACTGAGAGCCAACCTCTGACGTAAACACACAAGCCTTGGTAGTGCTGTCCTATTACTGCCATGTGAGCCACCAAATCTGGAGTTAATGACATTCTGAAAACCATAGATAATGCACCCCATACTTCTACCACAGGAAGCGGGACAGGAAATGCAGCACGTGCTTCATGGCTCATAATGAAATCACAGAGCAGTCCTGATGATCAGTGTCCACAATGAGCACGTTGTCTCAAATATCCTACAGCGCCTTCCGAGGAAGAGTAAGGTCATGCTTAAGTCCCTTATGTCTCCTATGTCATCTTTCAGTGATGATACACAAAAGTTTGTTTTTTCTGGAGATGTGTTGCTAC